TAAAGATGACCAAATAACTAATTGAAATGTCAATTATCTTGATATATAGGCATATGTGTTACTCAGAATATGCTTTATTCACCATTTGGACGCAATTTTTGTAGAAGAAAATGAATGCTATATGTACTCGTTTGTGAAATCTAAATACTTGTTTCATGAAAGGCGACAATTCATCGGGTTGCACGAGGCAGAAGTACTAATTAAGCAGAACCAAAATAACGTGCAACGCTGAGAATACAGCTCCGTGTTCTGCTTACAACGCGAATTTGGTTTGGCAGTGGAGTTTTGTAATGCTAAAAGACAGCTGGGGTTTTCCAATTACATTAGCCGGGTGCAACGGAACCAAACAGACACCGAGTATATCAGACTACCCAAGCCCAAGATTGCCCACGAAGAACATTTCTACACTGCACGTGCTTTTATATTAAGTTAGTTAGTATGTTAAAGGAGCATTTAACATGATGGTTAATTCACATATCTATTACTAAAAATAACATTTAGTCATGCATAAAAGAACGTCAATAAATGGTGAAGGAATCTATTAATACCGGTAGTGAATCGTTTTACAAAGCCATGGATAATAAATACCATATAAAGCTATAGAACTTTTTATTTAGACGATAACAGTGACGACTGTTCTAGAAAAACACAAAAAGAATTTGATGAATGTGTTTTACACTAACTCAGAATTTATTTAATCCCACTTCAGGCACAAAAGCATTTTTGAATTGCCCTCGGTGGTACATGTACATTGCAAATCTGGTTTAATGAGAAAAGAAAATTTTGTCAGGTTCCAATTACAGCAATACTGGCAGGAACATTTAATCTATATCTCATTTTATTTTTTTTTAAATCAAAATAATAAACATTTGGCTTCAACCTTCCCATGTGACGCTCAGAATCGCTCTCGTTGGCCTCGCCATTCTTAAAAAAGACCGCTGACGGGCACCTTGAGTAATCCTGTGAAGAGTCCTTGGTAGCTGTACTCGGATTGGACTTCAAACGTCTAATTTTTGCACTTTTTGTGTTTGAATAAATACAGAGTATCGTGTTTACTGCCCACCATGTTTCTCAGTGGCACGTGGTTCCATTCCCCTGATTTCGATGCAGGACCGTGCATAATCATGTTATTACAGTGTAGTACCCAAAAGGTTTAACCTGTGTGAAGCCCTTCTGCTTGATAATCATTTTGAAAGGATTTCATCGAGCAGTCGTTTAGTGTGATTTGAATATGATATGGACAGGGAGGTTGTAAACATGTCAGAATTATTGGTGAGAGTTGTTAGGAAAAATCAGTCTACATGTGTATAAACTAGTATATGATGGTTAATACATGTACGTTTGGAAAACATCTTTTACATGTGGTTGATATGTTGTTTTTTCTGGAGGGGGCCTCAGCCCTGTTGCGCTCCCACGATCCTTATCCGGCGGTAAGTGCAACAGAAAGTTCCAGTGGAAAGTGCCACAGTTTATATCCTGTAGATTTACCGTACCGGGGGACAAGGCTGGTTTCAAAAGCAGCTCAGCACGTTTTGGTGGGAGTGGACCACATGCATATCCTTTCGAAAGACATGACCTTAACGACATTTAGGGGCCTTTGCTCTTACCTTTTGCTGATGTTGATTAGGGTCGTCTGTTATTGGGGACACTGGAAACCGTCCATCACCACTGATGTTCCAGATCCAGAAATAAAGGGCTTAGGAGTTTGTGGGGAAAGTGTATTTGGGTCCTTTAAATCACGCCTGAATGTGCTTTATTACTGGAGACGGAAAAGAAAGATATTTGTGGGCTGTCAGAAATTCCGGAATTGGACCATCGACCATCAAATTTCTTTTCTATGAGTCACAGTGATAGTCTTGGCTAATCAGTGGTTAGCGAATCATGGCTGGTCGTGAGTAAAGGCGAAATAACTATTCTGGATTTCCTAACTAAAAACATAATTACAACATGTGCTACCCCCCAAAAATGAATAAATATCTGCCCCTTTTAACACTTCAGGGGCAGATGTGCATTTTGAGATATGTCACCAAACGATAATTATAAAAAGGATGGCTCATAGTCCTCGAGAAATCGAACGACGACGATTTTGTCATGAAGTAATCACATGTACTTTCCTGGACTGGCAATATGATGATGTACGGGCGCCTAGCGAGGGGCGATCAGTATGTGCGCATGCGTGTCTGAGACAAAAACGGAGAGAAAGAGATCAGAGAAATCAGTATCATTGCTTCGTTTTGAGCACAGTCGTTTCCAGGTACACAGGTTTTCACCCAGGTACAATTCGTCTCTGAGAAACTATAAAGGCAGTGAGTTCAGCTTTAGGTTAAGAAATCGCTGTGTCGTGAGGAGGGTTATGGCATTTGGACATGCCGGACCTGACATCTGCGTATTGTCAGACCTTCAGCGGGAAAGGGAGAATAAATACGAATTAATGTTGGCAAAACCTCCGTAATTACGCTTACTGAAAAACAACACATGGTTTGCACTGTTAATACATGTGGAATGATTTTCTAACACTTGTGTTGAAAGTTGTAGGGATTTCACGCCTTCTTACAGGCTTTAATATTGCATTTATAGCTACATGTGCAGTTGAAGCAAATATAGTCGAAGTGCGTTGCAAATATGACCCGCAAGACCATTAAAACTGAAACAGAAACTAGTTTCTCACCTACATGGTCTTACTTTAGTCAGATCTATTCTCCAGGCTACTCACATCGATTCACACATTCTTGCCAGTTGTGATCCCACGCCCAACTGTTCAAAAAATGACGGTCATGCCCTTCAGAAGACCAACCATGTGCGACTGCATTCAGAGAATGGGTCTCCACTAGATAGCGAAAGTGTTTTAGTCACACTCAGTAGTGCAGCGAAATACTAATCCACCCGGGCAAAATAGTAGGCCATTTTTTCCCCCACAGTCATGTCCTACACGCTTCTGTAGAAACAGCTGCAGGATCTGTGGCATTTACGATTCCTCGCCCACTCAGCTCGGCGGTATCTGCGGCGGCAATTTACAGGGGGATGCGGCCATGGATAAGGCGACATCGTTATGGTTGCTCCTCTGCGCCTGTTGGTGTGCCCTCAGAGTTGACGCCATATTGAATCCAGTGACACTGTCCACAGCGAGGATTGTTCCAGCTGGCACAGAGCCCACGGAAGGCGATACGGTGGTCCTTCAGTGCAACGTCACCGTACTTTTGACCAGTGGAAATTATACAATTGAATGGCTCAGACAGGGGGGAAATATGTGGGAAGTGGTCACACTGAACGGGAACAGCCTGAAACCGCGCTATGCCACCTCCACTAGTGAGTACTTACCAGATTTGAAGGTTGGTTTTCTGAACATCAGCAACGTCACAAAAGATGACGGGATTTTCTCATGTGAAGTCTGGGACGGTGGCAACCGGTTAACAGGAAGGGGCGTACCTGCTTTTTTGGTACGCTACTTCCCTCCCGATCCCTACCCGATCTGTTCCCCTAGTGGCAGCTATGCTGTTCAGCAAGGGGCAACTCTCGCTATGAACTGCACCACTGACCCAGGCCATCCGTTGGTACAGGTGAAAGTCAAACCGTCAGTTTTTGGTGTCTTCTGGAGTTTCTTTGGTGACGGGGAGCGAGTGATATCATCAAGTCTGTTGGTGAGTGCCGACCATCAGAACGTCACTTTCTTGTGCAACGTGACCTCGGCATCAGCGTTTCCGGGTAGAGAAAGTTCCTGCACTATTGGGCCGCTCGATATCCTTAGCGCGACGGTCCCCGGAGTGACAGCGCAGCCCGACATTTTATCTACCGTGGAACCACTACAAACATCTGGTTCCTCAACCGAGCCCGGTGGGACATCCCCTCTGACGACCGAAGGCTCCGGAAACAAGACAGTCCCCGGAGTGACAACCCAGATTGACGTTACATCTACCGAGGAACCACTACAAACCTCCGGTTCCCCAACAGAGTCCGGAAGAGCATCCCCACCGATGACCGGCGGCCCCGAAGAACCTCCCGTCGCCTGGATCGCTGTCGCTGTGGTCGTC